CCACATGTGTTCATTCATAGTTGTGATGCCTTCAGTGAGAATCTACAATGTAAATAGTCATGAAAATAAAGAAAACGCATTAAATGAGAAGGTGTGTCCAAACTTTTGGCCTGTACTGTGTATATATATATATATATATATATAGGGAGTATGTATATAGTCATCTTATAAAAGTCAAAAGAAAAGAAACAGAGTGAGACTGCGAGAGAGAAAGAGAGAGCGCGCGCGCACGAGAGAAGGGCAACATTGATTTACAATTGTGGTGACCTCCTCCCAGGCTACATTTGCATCATCAGCCCGTGGAGGTCTGCTTGCATATTCCGTATATTCGGACACTGCGAGCTTGGACCTCTAGGACCAAAACATCAGTTTCCTCCTGTCAGAAGTTTGGCCGTGTGACGCTGCTGCTCTCTTCTGCCATGGCGAATTGAGTAAACGCCTTCGCACGGCGCATTTAAGGGCGAGAAGAGGGGCTCATTTGATTGGTGTGATGTGTGTAAAACCCACTCCACGCCTTCTCTCCTCCCTCTTTCCGACTTGCGCAGGTAGGAGGGACGGAGGTGGGAAAGAGGAGTAGCTGCACCAGGTGCACGGTGTGCCAAACTTGCAAAATCCACCTGGCCACACCCAGTTGGCGAAGCGCAGGTGCACTGGGCCCCCGCCTCGCCCGGTCTGCGAAACTAGAGCCCTTTATCTTCAACACTTGTGGATCGAAACCACTTGGAAAACACCTGCGCTCGGACCACAGTTTATGGCTGGGACATACATTTTCAAGCACCAAAACTTGCTCAAGACTAAGGTAATTATTTTACTGAACGAACGCGCGTCTGTGTCTGTGTGCGCGAGCCAGCCATTACGTATTTTCACTTTACTGACATTAGCCTACAAACATTACAAACTAAACATTGCGCTGTGCACTCTGCACTGTTTCTTTCATTCTTTCTCCATGTTGCGTGTGTATGTGTGTACCTGTGTGCCCGCGCACGGCCCCACGCACGCGCGTGCCTCCGTGTCGTCAGCCGAAACTATGCTCCATGTATTTTGCCATAAAGCATGTTTCTAAAAGCAGTGTGTATTGTTTGTCTTACATTAATATTTATTACACAGTGCATTTACAGTGCTCTCATTTTGCATCTCCTCTAATATACTGTTTTTGATTTCTTACTCCTCTATACATAACACATCCCCAGGTAATGACTAGTAACTATAAATGAACACAAGCAACCTGAAAGCTCTCACTCTAAACTCTAAGGCCTTTAAAGGGGAACTAATGTTTTTTCAACCTGGTCGGCTAGGGCTGACCTGCCTGCAGCCTGTGTGCGCGTGCTATATTCAATAATAGGGCACTCAGACAGTGTCAAACAACATCAAAATATGTCGACTAAAAGTGCATTTTTTTCACACAGATAGGCTCGGATTGTTAGTATAATTATCCGACAACATAACAGAAAAGAGAAATGAACGTCTGTCTTTACCTTTAGCTGGATTCGGACATGTTCCTCTGCCTGTTGCTGCTCCCTCTCTCTCCTTGTCCGCTCTTAAATTTCAATGAGTAGTGTCTGTGTACGTCCGTGTACTCCATGTTCAAATAAATACGGGCGGTCAGCAAATTCGAAATGCTCATCTAGATCCAGTTGGTCAAAATCAGGTAAAAACTTCCTGCAACAACTCAAATCTCGCGAGACGTGAGATTTCAGAGCAAGACTTTCACTCTGTTTTGACTTGCCACAACAAACATGTCCAAATTTTTACCCGATTTTGACCAACTGGATCTGGATGAGCCATTTGAATTTGATGACCGCCAATATTTATTTGAACACGGAATACACGGATGCAGAGATCAATGAAAATGAAGAGCAGACGAGGAGAGAGAGGGAGCAGCAACAGGCAGAGGAACATGTCCGAATCCAGCTAAAGGTAAACACAGACATTCATTTCTCCTTTCTGTTATGTTGTTGGATAATTATACTAACAATCCGAGCCTATCTGTGTAAAAAAAATGCACTTTTAGTGGACGTATTTTGACGTTGTTTGACGCTGTCTGAGTGCCCTATTATTTAATATAGAGAACGCTCACAGGCTGCAGGCAGGTCAGCCCTAGATAAGTAATGGAGAAATGTAAAATATTGAACATCCTATCACTCATTTAGACAAAAGTAGACCGGAAATTAGGGCCCAGGTTGAAAAAAACATTAGTTCCCCTTTAATGAAAGCCCTACTCCAGCCAGCATTACTCCCTTTTTTACAGATAATGTTCTTTCTCAAACAGAGAATGCGATGTGGTTAATAGTATGGCGTAATCCATTACCATTGCAACCACACTGCTGCTCTAGCGTACGTGTCAAGGTCAACATCATTAGCAAGTGTAACATTAGCATGGATAGCGGGAGAGGTCACTCGAACATCAGTTATGAAGTGGAGGATTTTTCTCCCCCTGCTTCACCTGAAAACAAGAAACCCAATGACAGTGAGGTCATCAGAATACATGTACTTGAGCCACTGGCTCCCATTCTTTGAGACACTGACGGAGCTTTTACTGCTTCTTAACTTGCAGAGCTGGTGCTGCGTAGGAAATTGCCAAGTGGCAAGTTTGCTATATGCTCCACAAGCTCTTTAAGCATTTTTAGTAATATAGGAATAAATAAACAACACCATTACATGCCCCAACATGTAAAAATGAGTAATATAGCTGTCATGGAAGTACCTTTTGTGATTTCAGATCAAATCAGCTATCAGATCAGTGGTAGCACTTTGTACCACTGGGTTAGCTCGCTGAACGTCAGTGCCACTGAGCAGTAGCTCACACCCATTCTTTGGCTCAGTGGGTGATCTCATCAACGAGTTACAGCAGAGTCATGGCTCAGTGTGGGTTTGTACTCATGACAATGACTAGGTGGCTCAAAACTCAGATGCAGACTAATGACAATGCAGCTGCGCAAGCTCGGAAGATACCGTATGACCTGCAGCTTCCACTAGAGTCATACGTAATCTTTATTTCATCCGTCTTCTTTCTAAGTCTTTTGTCAAAATATTTTGCAGTGTGGCCAATCAAACTTTTCTGGAAATACAAAATATCATAAAAATGCCAAAACATAGCAGAGGGGGGCTTTAAAACCTTTAAAATCAGACCTACACTGTGTGACGCCAAACTACAACTGCTAAACCAAATGCAAATTACTAGTACATCCTATGAACTATGCCAAAGCAGAACACAGCAGTAGCCCATAAACAATAATACACTTCATAATCCAACTCACATTAATGATCTGGAAAAATGGCTTGATGTTGTTCATGTTGACCGCATGATCAGGTCTCGGTTTTCATCCTCAAAGCTCTCTTATCAAATATCACAGGGAAATAAATCCCTCACCTGTTGGAATCCTTATAGCATTTCCCATTCAAACAGGGAATGAAAATTACATTTAAATGAAAATATTAAAATCTGCCAATATTTGTGGAGCCACCTGTACTGTATGTAAATACACTTAGCAAAGGCTTATAGTTGCTGATGGTCTTAAAACTACATAATTTCAATGCATGGCATAGATCCAAGTGAAAAAAAAAAACACGGAGGTGCATTAAAGCAGAGCTATCTCACTTTTAAAAAATAACTTGTTTCAGTTATCAACGCAAGTCGGGTTATACTGCATTTAATATAACTTGAATAGAATTTTTTATGATTGGCAGGGTTTTATTTCTATCCTTGATATGCATGATTTGTTTTATCTGCTTTCCAAACAGCCCGCAGACCAAGTTCACATGTGTGTTCTGCTTCATTACCATATGCAAAAAAGTGGTGGCCTGAGACAAAAGAGGTCCATGAGCATCAGCTGAGTGGGTGAGAGGAAAAGCTTTGGCCTACACGAGGCTACTGTTGACACAATACAGTGTTTTTACAATGTGATTTATGAAGGGACAGCAAATCATGGACTGAAGTTAAGGATGCAATATAGTATGATTTAAAGTTTTCTCAACAGTGGCCAAACTGTAAATTTCCTAGAGTTTGTGAGGTTGCCAATAACTCTTTTGCACTTAGGATACTCTGCGGTGCATTGTACGTGCATTATTATTATTATTACTACAAAAGGGAGTTCTTCTTGAGAATGACCACAATGACTAAAAAAGATTATTCTAATTTACCAATACATATATCAAAATTGCATAGTATTGTAACTTTTCATAGACTGGCAGTGATAGTTCTACAAAGAGCTAACATCCTGCAGAATGGGAGGTAAAATGATAAGTTCTAGGCAGATACTTTTTTATTTGATTCTTTGTGCATATATGTAAGGGCTGTCAAAATAACGCTTTAATTTCGATTAATTAATCACAGAAAAAATAATACATCACAAAACTTGATGCTGATTAATTGCATTCCGTTGTGCCCTTTGACCCAGTATGTCATTGAAGGCCACAGTGGCTTTGTCATATAGGCAGATAAGACAACGCTGCTTGGCCTCGTGAATGGAACGTTTACATTTAAAAAATGCCCAGAGGGAACTGTTGATAGGAGAACTGTCTCTGCAGTTTCTGCATTAAGTAATTTTTGTACCATCAGAGCACAGCCTCTGATGCTAGTGCTAGCAGCCAGCCTCGTCAAGCCACAATCAACCAGGTGTGTGTCCAAATTCCAGCAGCTTCACATCTGCCAAAAGTTCAAAAGTTTGGACCTAACTGTGAAGGTACATATGCTGTTAATAAATACAATTATAACTATATTATAACATATCAGTCATTCATTAACTGTTCATACACTTTTGAAATAAACTCTAAAAATCACAATAAACACTATATATATTACAATATATATATACAATACATATACAATTACAATATATTTGTGATATGATCATTTATTGAGAGTTTAGATGGCTTGTAAATGCTCAGGATGGGGGTTAAAGTGAAGAATTTTTTTTGTTTTAATACTGCAGCTGTATTCTGCAACACACTTGTTTCGTGTGGGGAATAAAGGCCAGGGTTTGTATGTGTGTGTTACCTACCCAGTGCGTTTGGTGATGGTGCCCAGGGTCATCGGCTGTTTAATTTGAGCCAAAGGCAGCACCACAGTGAGGGTGGGCAGCGGGGTCAGTCGCGGATTCCCCATGTTGTTATTGGTGAAGTTGTTGTATGAATCCTGGCTGCTCAGCTTGGCTGGAAATACACAAAAATACAGGATTACTTAAAGTACTTTCAGTGAATATTAGTGGATGTTTTTGGACAGCAAGGTCAACCTGCTTTTCAAAGATTTTAAGTGAAACATAATGGACAAATATGTCAATCCAGAGCCTTTCCAGGTAATAGTTGCAGAATACTGATAATCACATTATGAAAACTAGCACAACCTTTCATACATTATTCATTTTTCAGTGCTCAGTCATTCCTTTTTTATCTTTAGAGATGCTAATTTGTCTGCAAACACTTAACCCTTAAATGTGGGCAGGGTTGTTGTCACTCACTGCTCTGTCCAGCATTCACTGTATTTCCTGATTACCAGTGACACAGGTGGAAGTCTGTGCCTCATTTATCGTCCACAGAACGAGGGTGCACAGCCACATTTTCAGAAAAAAATAAAACACGTTGCAGAGAGAGTTTCTCTTGATGGAATATTTGAAAATAGCAGGTTTCTGCATTTAGTCCTTCTTAGGCAAGCTAGGGGGTTTACAGTTGCTGTAGCCTGCAGGAACAGTGCTCTGTAACGCTTTATTTTTCTCAGAGTGAAAATTAGAAGAAATTCTATCACATAACCCAGCCGAAATTAATATATAAATACTTGAAGATCCACTCATTACTACAAGTATATGTCATATTAAAACTAAAGCAATGGTCAAAGTTGTCATATGGAATATTTAAGATGTGTTGATTGATTCACATCGTGATCTCATGCATCGAGTAACATTACAAGTTAACGTTCCATCTTAAAAGTCACTGGCAGTCAGAGCATGTGAGTGAAGCGGAGCGGGTGAAAATTTCTGCTCCTTGCTCGCAGAGCTGTCACTTTGCGCTGCTTGTCTGCTCCGCTTGGTTCTGCGCATTCTTTGCTCCGCTCTGCTCCATCATAAATTTTATTCCACTCCACTCGCTCACCATTCTGCTCAAAAAAACTGTGTCGTACTACCCTAAACTGTAATCTTCTAGTCACAAATAAAACATGAGCTTGGTAGATTCTCTGGGGAAGTCCTCTCCCCTCTCCCTGCAGTTAGGGACCGTTCTACATGGTACCGCTGTCGGCAGGGTGGAAATAAGTCAAAGTGTAGAGGAGACGGACCGGGTTAAGCGGCCGACCTCCGGGGAAGCCCTCTCACCTCTCGCCGCAGTTGGCGACCGTTCTCCAAGGTACCGCTGCTTCTCTTCTCAGTTTCTTTTCTGAAGTACAGAGTAAACTCCATAGTTTTGAAAGAAAATAGTGTGGGTGTACGCAGGTGCAAAGATGCATTCTGGGTGGGGCATGAGCAACCGGAGCGAAATTGGAGCAAGAGATAAGTCTCCGCTCCACCTTTTAAAAAAAATAGCCGCTCCTCCCTCAACACAAAATCCTTCCGCTCCCCGCTCCGCTCACATGCTCTGCTGGCAGTCGACCCATTGAATTTAGTTTTTTTTTTCTTCGACTACAGCTGCTGCAAGAGGCAGCAAAACAGCCTTTCATTTTATAGTTACGGTTTACAAATAAAACTGTCTACGGTATGAACAGTGATTACATAAGCCTAAAAACCAGCCACAACTCAGCCCTGAGCAGAGTGACCGTCCGCTATTGACCAACGGACTACAGTGCTCACAGCTCGACCTTTTAGTACCAGATCTGTGTGCTAGGTACCCCAACAGAAGGGTGACCAAAAATGGGGATGGTACGGGACGGTTCCATTGGTACCATTTTCACAGCGGAAAGGGAGAAAAAGCAAAACAAACTAAACTGTACTATACTGTACTGCTCAGTGGAAACAGGGCTTTATTCACTTCATCAGTCACACAAGTTTAAATTGTAGCCTCGGCATTCAGCGGACAACCAGAGGACCCTGTTTACAAAACCGAAACACGTTTCTCTCCGAGAAAAAAGCCTTGTTTTAATACTGTGCGCGCACACACACACACACACACACACACACACACACACACACATCTATGTATCTTTATCTATATATATATATATATATATATATATATAGTACAGGCCAAAAGTTTGGACACACCTTCTCATTCAATGCGTTTTCTTTATTTTCATGACTATTTACATTGTAGATTCTCACTGAAGGCATCAAAACTATGAATGAACACATGTGGAGTTATGTACTTAACAAAAAAAGGTGAAATAACTGAAAACATGTTTTATATTCTAGTTTCTTCAAAATAGCCACCCTTTGCTCTGATTACTGCTTTGCACACTCTTGGCATTCTCTCCATGAGCTTCAAGAGGTAGTCACCTGAAATGGTTT